AATAATTAAAGACCAATTTTCTTAAATTTAGTGACTATGATATTGATTTTGTTCCAAAATTCTACCACTACTATTGTCTAAGAAGATTTACGCTGGATTGCTGAAAAATCAAATATACGAAAGTGAATCCGCTGGGGATCATTCCATTCCATCTATAAGAATTTAAGAAGCCGACACAGTACAATTAAATCGGACAACGCTCGTCTCTTCTCTGTCTTTAACCCAATCACATGTCCTGCGCGTGCATTCACACTCCTCCCATAGTACTTGACTGTATTCAATGGGTACTTTCTCTCTCTTCCCTCACGCATATTTATAATTTATAAACGTTCTCTTCCTCTTCCCTCTGGAGTCCCCCTTCTTCTTCTTCTTCTTCTCCTTCCGAAGTTGGAGTCCGATCGACCGTTCGACGTCAATGGCTATCGGCGGCGGTTTTCTACAGTCAAAGTTTGCAGTCAAGGCCAGGAAAGCCAATATCTGTTACATAGCATTGGTTACAGTTCTATGTACAACTTTCTATCTCCTTGGAATATGGCAAAACTCCCCCGGCCCTCTTGCCGCCTCCACGTCCTCGTCCGCCGCGATCCTCAGCCGCAACGCCGTCCCTTGCACTTTCCCAAAATCAACTACTTACAGCACCAACATCCAATTAGATTTCTCCGCCCACCATCTTCCAGAAGACCCGCCACCGGTGGCGGCGCGTGAAATCCACCTCCCTCCCTGTAACGCTTCGTTCTCTGAGTACACCCCATGTGAGGACGCCCAGAGATCCCTGAAATTCAGTAGAGATATGCTTGTTTACAGAGAAAGACACTGCCCAGAGCCGAAAGAGAAGTTGAAGTGTCGTATCCCGGCGCCGCACGGATATAAGATTCCATTCCGGTGGCCAAAGAGTCGGGTATTCGCATGGTTCGCTAACGTTCCGCACAAGCACTTAACGGTGGAAAAGAAGAACCAAAATTGGGTGAAAGTGGTAGGCAACCAGCTCCAGTTCCCAGGAGGCGGCACCATGTTCCCGCGTGGCGCTGACGCCTATATTGACGATATAGGAAAGCTGATTAATCTGAAAGACGGCTCTATAAGGACCGCCATAGACACCGGCTGCGGGGTACGTAATACTATTTCCCACCCTTAATTCCTTGTGCTTAATTGGCTTACTTTTTTTTTTTTCCCTTGAACCGACCGGCCGGTTCCTTAACATGTAAGGAGTATATGTTTTAGTTTTTTTAGGTACAATTATAAGTAATTCTAATTAAATTAATTAAATATTTTAAATTTAAAAAAAAATTATTAATATTAAATATCAATTATCAATTATATTTAAATAGTTAATTCAAATACCTTATGTATATTACAATATATTCCCAAAATCATGCATTTGATTTGTAATGCGTTTTTATTTTTTATTTTTTTAA